ACAACTACAGCTGTTGGCTATCCTTGTGCTGGGATGGCTCTGCCCTGCAAGCTGGGGACTTGCATGTGGCCACGAGCGGACTGCGCCCTCTCATCAGTCCAAGTCTTGAGCCTGTCCAAACACTGTGCCATGTTAACAATTAACACTTACAGCATGTAGACGTGGCATTCGGGGAACAAGGTAACAATGAGGGGTGTTGCTCAGTGGTTGAGAATTGATCCGTGAACCAGAAGTCACGGTTGGATCCCCATTCAGGGCACATGCCTAGGTTGCAGGAGGCGACCTAACAATGATTCTCTCTCATCATCGATGTTGCTTGTGAGGTTCTCGGGGCAGGGAACAAAGAGAGACAGTCCAGGCGGGTCAAAAGGGTTTGCCCGGCCAGTCGCACTTTTTTTATACAGGTGTCAGTGAGGGTGGAGGGCGTGAGCTGAGGGCGGGTGGAATTTCAGCCTCGGGCAGGGATTCCAGGAATGGAGCCAATATCTGCGCCACCGTCTGCCTGGAGCACTGGCCCGTCACAGGTTCCAGGAAGGGACCAGCGTTTGTGTCACCACCTGTCTGGTGAACTTCTAGTCTGTTATCTGGGTCACCATCGGTTGCATGCATCAGCTTCTGGAATTCCTCCGACCTAACATTTCTATCACTCTCTTCCTTTCTCTGAAATTAATAAAAACACACACAAATATTTTAAAACAACAACAACTAAACAACGGTGAGAGATTCTGTGGCCTCAGTGGTATGAGGTTGTACTCTGAGAGTCTGGAAAAAGGGGGTTGCTTACACATTCAAAGGGTATGTTATTTTAAAATTTTCCCCCCATTAATCCTCGCCAAAGGAAATATTTCCATTGGTTTTATTTTTATTGTATATTTATTTATTTTACGAATCAAACTTTTTCTTTTTCTTTTTTTTTTTTTTTTTGTTGTTTTAATTTCTTTATTGATTAAGGTAACACATATTTGTCCTCATCCCCCAATTCCCATCCCACACCCCTCCCCACGCATGCCCCCACCCCCCTGTTGTCCTTGACCACTGGTTAGGCTCACATGTATGCTCACAAGTCCTTGGTTGATCTCTTCCCTTTATCCCCACCCTCCCCTACCTTCCCTCTGAGGTCCGACAGTCTGATCTATGCCTCCTTGTCTCCGGGTCTGTTCTTGTTCATCGGTCTATGCCGTTCATCATTTCCCCTAGATGAGTGAGCCAAACTTCTATTATGAGGAACTGGCTGTACAATATCTAAAAAGAAAGTTAAGGTGAGGGAAGCAGATGACTACTTCCTTCCACCGTGTGTGTGTGTGTGTGTGTGTGTGTGTGTGTGTGTATGTGTGTGTGTGTGTGTGTGTGTAAATAGAGAGAGAGAGAATCATGGGAAGAGAGATTGGCAGTTGTGTGACAGCATCAAGGGGCAGGCTGAGGCGAGCCAAATCCAGGGGGCTGGGAGCCATTAGCCTTTGGAGTCCCTGGAGCTGGAGGAGGGCTATCTCCAGCTTCCTGTTTTCCCCCACAGAGGGCACTGCCCCCAAGTGGGGAAGGGGCTGAGGATTGGGGAGGGACCGGGGAAGGGTGGGAGGTGGGGCCTCCTTTGCCATCCCCTGTTGGGGGAAGAGAGACCACTATGTACTTCTGGACACTGCCGGGGCCGGAGGAGGCAGTGCTGGGGGGTGCAGCTGTGGCAGTGGAGACCAGCTTGACAATGGGCTGCACACTGGGGACCGTGGTAGTGACAGGAGACGTGGTGGTGGAGCCTGAGCCAGGGGCTGAGGTGCTGAGGGACAGGACCTGGGGGAAGAACGGAAAGTCAGTGTCTGTTATCTTGCATCCTCACTACTCCCCAGACCTGGGGGAATACTTCACTTGCTCCTAACCACTCGCCTGCCTGGCTGCATGATTGCCCCTAACCACTCTGGCTGCCAGCCTGATTCCCCCCTAACCACTCTCCTGCCAGCCTGATTGACACCTAACTGCTCCCCTGCCAGCTTGATTAACTCCAACTTCCCTCCCATGCATGCCTGGTCCCCCCCAACTGCCTTCCCCTGCCAGCCATCTTGTGATGACATGGGAGTGGCCATCTTGTGATGACATGGAGGCAGCCATACTGTGGTTACATGGGGGTGGCTATCTTGTGATGACATGGGGCCAGCCATCTCGCGATGTGAGGGTATGAGGGTCAATTTGCATATTACCTCTTTATTATATAGGATATTTTTCTTTCTTTTTTTAAAATATATTTTATTGATTTTTTTAGAGAGGAAGGGAGAGGGATAGAGAGGTAGAAACATTGATGAGAGAGAAACATCGACCGGCTGCCTCTTGCACACCTACTGGGGATGTGCCCGCAACCAATGTATATGCCCTTGACCGGAATCGAATCTGGGACCTTTCAGTCTGCAGATCGACTCTCTATCCACTGAGCCAAACCGGTTTTGGCCTATATAGGATATTTTTCACATGCCAAAGAATATATGTAATGTGCATATGACATAGGAATAACAAAACAGCTAATAATTATTTTCATGGAACCTCCCCCAACTAATAATTCTCTTCATGTTGAACTGATGCTTTTGGTCTTTCTCAGATATGTTCAAATTTGCCATAACAGAACCTTTGGCCACTTTGCAGGTCGGTTCAGATTTTCAGAACCCTTTGTGTGCCGGCAGAATCTGCAAGCAACAGGAGGCGAAACAGTCTCTGCTGCTGGGAATATGAGACGTGTTCCCTGGCACATTTCTGCCCTTTGTTAAGATGTACAAGAAGCCGAAACCGGTTTGGCTCAGTGGTAGAGCGTCGGTCTGTGGACTGAAAGGTCCCAGGTTCGATTCCGGTCAAGGGCATGTACATTGGTTGCGGGCACGTCCCCGGTAGGGGGTGTGCAGGAGGCAGCTGGTCGATGTTTCTCTCTCATCAACATTTCTAGCTCTCTATCTATCTCCCCTCCTCTCTGTAAAAAAATCAATAAAAGATATATATATGTATGTATCTGGTTGGATATATATATATATATATATATATATATATATATATATAACCAACCAGATACAATTTTTAAAAAATGTACAAGAAGCCATTCTGACGTGATCTGCCAATTTAGCGCTGCCCTGATGTTCTCCTAGCCCAGGATGAGGGTCTGTACACAGGCCCCATCAGGACCAGACACCTTACCAGATAATACTTTCCTCCGAGACCTGTGAGGGCTAAGCATCCCAAGAAACCACATAATACTGGATCTAAGCCCAGATTCTATGATGTTGAATCCTGCTTCTCTCCAGCCCGGAGGGAAGCCAATGTTTCGAGTGTTTTTTCCTCCAGAAATCAAAACAGAGATTTCAGCCTCAAATACGCCCTCATGTGCTGCCATGGACTTTGAGATGTGTCCCTGGGGGGTTGCTTCTTTTCTGAATCACACTGCTTGAATAGAAGGGCTATTGGTGGCTATAAATAAGTATCTGATAGGTCAGGCACCTAGGCTCACTCTTCTATCTCCCACGCAAAATAAGGCCTCCCTCTGCTGTTCTTCCTGGTCTGTATTTGTGAAATGTGACACCAGAGAGCTCTGGGCCCCTGGAGGAGAGTCTCTGTCATAGCAAACACCATGTCTTCCTAGAAAAGAATCTGCCATAGATCAGTTCTTGTTCCAGCCATCACCTCTGTCTCTGACTTTCTACAGCTTCTTCCTTTTCCAATAGTTTCTGTGGTCCAATTGCTTCTTTTGTCCACTGAGCCCAATTAGAGAGGGAGCTCCCTAAGAGACAGTCTAACCTCCTGCTTGTTTAACCCTCAACAGCACCAAGTAAATGGACTTGCCCACCTCCAATTCTCTCTTGGAAATCTAGTTTGGAGATGGGGGGGGGGGGGAGAGAGAAAATAGGGAGAAAAAAGAAGACACTTAACCAGAATGCCAGGTTCTGGGAGGTAAGAGATATGACAATTAGATGTAGGCCTGCACGTACCTCTGTGCATGTTGCATGGGGATGAGGGTGGTAGTGGAGGGAATAAGGCTGAGATAAGGGATACAGTTGAGATCCATAGACACAACTTCATCTTCACAGGAGGTGCTCCTTTTAAGTGTCTTAACAATGACTCAGACACTAGGCTAGTGAATGACAGACAGCTTGGTGCAGGCAGGATAGGACCCCTGGCAGAGGGGACTGGTTTTGGTGAGTGGAAATCTCCTTCCTAAAAGAAGGTGAAGAAAACATAAACCATTGACAGATTCTCTTTTCTCTACCCACAGATCTTCTACTTCAAGTTGCCCTGGCCTGACAGCACCACCCCTCGTCCCCCAGCACCTTGCTGTGCCTTGAAATCTGCCCCCAAGCCCACAGAATCGCCCTCCGTCTTGGAGTCTGTCTCCCAGGAGTTTGGCAACCTGACCCACCTTTTGTACTGGCCTTCAAGCCCAGAAGAAGAAAAGGACCTATTGGCCTCCACCAGCCCCAAGAACTCCACCTACCACCTGAGGGGCCCTGCGCAGGCCAGCTATGTCCTGGGGGGCTGCCTGGAGGCCATCCTTGTTGCCAGAGACCATCGGGGCAGGCCCAAGACCCACGGCGGGGATCTGTTTCGAGCGCAGCTGCTGGGTCCTGACGTGAAGGCAGGGGTCCCCGGGGACGTCCAGGATCTGGAGAATGGCACATACCTGCTGTCCTTCCCCCTTCTTTGGGCCGGGCAGGCCCAGGTGCAAGTGCGGCTGATCCACTCCAGCGAGGCCGTTGGGGTGCTGCGAAGGATCTGGAGAGAGAAAAGAGCCACTGTTGATTTTAGAGGGTATTTCCGCGGACCCACGGGAAATGAAGAGACTGTGGTTTGCAATGTCGACCCTCTGTCCATTGGAACAAGAGGGCCTACCTGCCAGTACAGAAATGTGGATTCGGGTGAACTCTGGTTCTGTGCTCAGCCCTCTACCCTGCCCTGCAACTCTTTAGTTGGGCACTCAAGTGGGAGTTACCTGAATGTGACCACTCTGCATGATGAGTCCCTGCTGGCACGGTAAGAAAACATGAGCAGGGAAGCTTGTACCAACCCTAAGCCACATCCTTCTTTCTAAATATCGTCCCTGTGACACAATGACCCTCCCCAGTTTATCACTCATTTATTTATACTCTCATCCAACAGGTGCTTATTGAGCACCTATTACCTGACAGACATTTCTAAACAGATATGTACTGGTCAGGCTATCCATTTAAGGAAGGTTACAATTGATCTGGGGTTTAAAGAAAAAAAATAGGAATTCTCCAGAAAGGTAAGAGATAAGATGTTCGAGACAGAGCAAATAATCTCAGGGCAAACGTGTCTTGAGTGCCTCATTTACTTATTCAAATTCCTGCCTGCCCCTAGATTTTCATCTAAAAATAAATACATTAAAATTCCTTGTTTAGTTAGATCTTCAACTATTTAAAAATCTATTTTTCAAAAACATTGAAGATGGGTTTTTTTGTTCAGAATTTTTAGTGGTTCTCAGTAAAAGGGTTGGTATGACTACTTGGTTCTGCCATATTATCAGAAAAATGAATCTTCATTCTATTTCATTTGTTCCTGCTAGTATCTTTGATATTTGTTCTCTTTATTTCATGATGTATTTCTTTTTTTTAATATAGAATTATATTTATTAATATGAAAAGATATTCCTATCAAGACACCACTGGCCTGTAATAACTAGCAGAGACAGTATGCCTACTGAAAGTGTAGAGTTTTAGGCAAGCAGCCCTGTGTTAAGCAGAAAACTGGGGCAGGCCTGCAGGAGCAGGCAGCAGCCTCTAGCAAAGTGGGATGGAATCTGGTGAAGGAGTAATTGTGAGAGCGCCCAATGGGAACAGCATCTTCTGTAAGCATATGTGGAATACCTCATTATAGTTCCTTATTTCTTTTTTTCTAATTTCATGATTTAGAACAATTCACCAATCTATCAATCTTCCTTATATGAGATGAAAATAGTTAAGGCTATAAATTTCTTTCAGAGTACAGCTTTAGCCTATATTCTTTAAATTTTTGTATATGAAAACTTCATTTTTATATATTTTCATATGGCTTGTAATTTACACAGTGATTTTTCTCTTTAATTCATGAATTATTTAGAAATTATGTTTAGTTTCTGAATATAAGGTAGGGAGGTAGCTATCTTTATTTCTTTTCTTAATTTATTTGCATTATGACTAGAAATATGGTTTCTTTTTAATTTTTTTATTTTTTAAATAAATCTTTATTGTTCAGATTATTACAATTGTTCCTCTCCTCCCTCCCCCCGCCATAGCTGCCCTCCACGCAGTTCCCACCCCTCCCTCTGCCCTTACCCCCCTCACTGTCCTCATTTGAGACAGCCTTATGAGGCAAGACTTGCTTCAGTGAGGCTTTGGTGCTCACTGAGTATACCCCCTGAGTGTGTCCCTTATGGATCTGAGGAGCTGTAATCTGGATGGTTCCACTCTGACCCCTGGGTACACTGGCTCTTGGATCTCCAAGGAGGTGCTAATTTAGCCTCTGCCTGAGGCCACCCAGCAGGAGCTATGGAGAGATCTGCAGATTCCTCTTCTTTGTTTGGGTTTTGGAGGTGCCCAGATGAGGCCCAGCTGTGAAGCAATGCAAGCTGCTGTGGGGCCTTGGGCCTTCTTTTGGATGTTCTGGGTCTCTCTGACTCAGCTGCAGTTTATTAGGTAAGTTTAGAATTCAAAGGACCGGGCCATTCATATGCAAAAGCCTCTGTGCACAGCTTGGATGGGGCAGAGTCTCTGGGCAGAGCAAATAGCAATGGCTTCCCGTCAGCTCTGCCCTAAGAGGCCCCCAGGTCTCAGTGTCCATTGGTAAATGCTGCAAGCACCTCTGAGAGAAAACCACCCTCGAGTTCCGCCCACTGCCAGACAGTCCAGTTTCTCCCCGTATGAGTCTGGGTTCCCAGAGTCTCACCCAGAACTGGAGTTCAGGAGCTTGTGTCTCCCTCCAGATTGAAAAGGCAACCACGTACTCAGTTGCCAGCTCTCTGCACATCTCCGTACCTCTGCCTTCTGCAGCTCCTCTGAGTCTCAGTGTGCTTTTCTCTTTCCTTCTAGTTGTAGAATTTCCACTTAGCCAGCCTTCCTGTGGTTCTGAATGATGTTCGTTTGGTCTTTTAGTTGTAGTTTTGAAGTTGTTGTATGAGGCAGCAAATTCAGGTGTTTACCTATGCCACCAAGTTGGTTTCTCCCTCTAGAAATAAGGTTTCTGATATTAATTCTTTGAAATTTTATCTGTGACCCAGTAAATTACTAAGTTTTGTTTGTAGTCTATATTTTCTTAAAAATAGTTTGTATTCTCGCCCAGCCAGTGTTGCTCAGTAATTGAGCATCGACTTATGAACCAGAAGGTTGCAATTCAGTTCCTGGCCAGGGCACGTGTCTAGTTGTGGGAGGCAGGAGGTGGCCGATCCATGGTTCTCTCTCATCATTGATGTTACTATCTCTCTCTCTCCTTTTTCCTTCCTCTCTAAAATCAATACTAATATATTTTTAAAAATAAATAAAATAACTTGTATTCTCTATTTCTTCAGAATGGAATTCTGAATCTATTTGATTTAGATTGTTAACATTTTTATTCCAAACATGTATATCTTCACTAATTTTTCTGTCTGCTCAATCTATTAGCTTAGACATGAATGCATCATACTATGTTTGTAGATTTGATTATTTCTCTTTGTGATTCAGGCTGTTTTCAGTTTATACTTTTCAAGGTTACGTTGTTAAGTATATTCAGCTTTGTGATTGTCTTATGCTAATGGTAAAATATTAATGTTACTTTCTTGCTTTTTGTCTTAAGTTCTAATTTTGGCACTATGAATATTATAACAATGCTCATTTGTTTAGTGTTTTCATGGTATATATTTTTTTCTTCTCTTTATATTTCAATATTAATATTTTGTGTGAAATAATTTTAGGTAGGTCTCTTGACATGAAATGTGGCATTTGTTTAGGCACAGTTAAATAAATCATAAAATAGACTAAATCCATGAAGATAACTAACTTTACCTAAACATAATAGTATTCAAACCAATGGAGAATATGTTGAATAGTAAATAAACATAAAATAATATAATTATATCTGAACTCTAGAGTATATGCATAAAAATCAATGTCAGGAAAATTTAAGATCTAAAGAAAGATCTAATTCAAACCTGGCAAAGCATTAAGATCCTGTAGAGCAGGATGTTGGGTACACAAAAAAGTAAACTTTAAAATGGGCATAGGAGGTAGGAAAAGAAGGCAGATGGGTGGTTTAAGAAGTTGTCCTATGAAGGAAAGGAACATGACAGAGTTGCAGCGATAGGAAGAGGTGATGGAAGAGGCAGTTTATTCAATAGAGCAGATGTGATTATGTTTACATTATGAGAGAAAAGAGGTAGCACAATCTAAAAGATGCAGAAGGAGGTAGCATTAGGATACAGTGTCACGTCTCCTGAGTAGAGAGGGCAGGAAGTGAGGATGGGTGCAGAGGTTGACATGTTTACTGATAAAGAAGTGAATGTTAAGAAAGCCCCTGTTGATTAGGAGGTGCTTCCCGGGCCTGGGAATTGAAGGAATAAAGATGAGGTAAGAAAGATGTCTCTCCCAATCTCAAGTATCCTACAATGGGAGCACAGTGGAAACAAAAAGATTGCCCAACAGTATTTCCAGCCTCACTGGAACTGTCGTCCATCAGTTCTAAAGATAGCAGTTCACACATTCAAATATTCATTCTTATTTAATAGCTATTTATTTCATCATTGCCTCCTCAGCAACTCACATTCCTATGGTCCGAGTTTTTGTTTTGATGAAATTTTTAAAACATTTAATCTGCTTTATTGCAGTATAATTTATACACAATGAAATAGTCTTGTTTGAAATGTGCAGGTTAATGAGATTTTTTTGTTTTGTTTTGTTTTTAATCCTCAACCAGGGATATTTTTCCATTGATTTTTAGAGAGAGTGGAAGAGAGAGGGAAAGACAGAGAGAAACACATCCACTGGTTACCTCCTGCATAAGCTCTGACCAGGGACACGAGTCCGGGAGGAGCCGGCAACCTATGCTCTATCCACTGAGCCAAACTGGCTAGGCCCAGGGCAGTGAGTTTTAATAAATGTGTACACCCACCAACTGTCACCACAATCAAGAAATAGAACATTTCCACCACTTCTAAAGAGGCCCTGTGTCCCTTTACAGTCAATTTTCCTCATCCTCCTCCAGCCCCAGGCAAACACTAATTTGCTTTCTTGAAAGTAGGTATTAGCTTTGCCTTTTCTAGAACTGTATAGAAATGGAATCATACAGTTTGTACTCTTGTATCTGCTTCTTTCACTCAGTAACATGTTTTTGCGATTCTTCCATGTTGCTGCATATCAGTAATTTTTTTCCTTTTTATTGACGAATGGTGTTCCATTGTACAGATATACTACAGTTTATTTACCCATTTACCTCTTGAACAGTTGGGTTGTTTCCAGTTTTAGCGATTATGAATCAAACTGCTGTTAATATTGGGGCGTAAGACTTTTGTAGACAAATATCTTTGTTTCTCTTTGACATCTGTGTGGAACTTTTTTACTACTAGACTTTATGAATTACAACTGTTTTAGATTTGCAAGGAAATAGAGCAGACAGTACAGAAATTCCCGTTTCCCCCCATAATTTCTCCTATGTTTGTTGCAGTTCATGAACCAATATCGATACATTATTATTAAGTCTATAGTCTATTTAGGTTTCTTTAGTTTTGACCCAGTGATTTTCAAAGGTGAGCTGGAAGAATTTTTAAAACATATAATACCTGACTATTTAGTCAGGGGCACTGACCTTTTTTCCTAGACTGTCAAACAAACAAACAAACAAAAAATAACAGCCAACATAACAATAGCTGTCGAGTGTGAATGAATCAAAATTATATCTATTTTTTTGTCAGATCAGCAAAAAATATGGCTTTTTTTTTTTTTTGGTGTGTCACAGAATTGTAGTAATTAATGTGTGTCTTTCATGAGATAAAAGGAAGCTAAACATTGCTATTTTAAAAAAATATTTTTTTATTGACTTCAGAGAGGAAGAGAGATGGAAACATCAGCAATGAGAGAGAATCTTTGACCAGCCAACTCCAGCCTGTGACCCACGCATGTGCACCCTTCACTGACGTTGAACTCAGGACCCTCTAGCTACTGAGCCAAACTGGCCAAGGCAAACATTGCTATTTTAATCGAATAGCAATTTTTTTGCTCCAGAATCCCATCCAGAATACTGCATTACATTTAGTTGTCAAGGCTCTTGGTTGTGACAGGTTCTTTTACTTTATTTTTGATGACTTGGACAGTTTTGAGAAGTATTGGTTAATTGTATTGAGTATCCCTCTCTATTGAAATTTTCCTGATGTCTTTCTTTTTTATATATATATTTTTTATTGATTTTTTACAGAGAGGAAGAGAGAGGGATAGAGAGTTAGAAACATCGATGAGAGAGAATCATTGATCAGCTGCCTCTTGCACACCCCCTACTGGGGATGTGCCCGCAACCAAGATATATGCCCTTGACCGGAATTGAACCAGGGACCTTTCAGTCTGCAGGCCGACGCTCTATCCACTGAGCCAAACCAGTTTCGGCCTGATGTCTTTCTTATGATGAAAGGTGGGTTATGGGTTTGAGGAAGAAGGCCACAAAGATCAGGTTACTTTTTCGTCCCATTATATCACGTGCACATGCTACCTCTGTGATGTGGGAGTGTTGACGTTAATCTGGCTGGGGCAGTGTTTCTCTCCCCAGGCATGCTTGTGCATCCTTCTTTATCGGAGAACTACGCGATCCCGTGTGGCTGTTCTTTCACCTGGCCTGTCAGTAAACGGGGAGCTCCTGGGTAGGTTGATGGCAGAAAGTCCAGGTTCCTGATAAGATTTTCTCTTTCCTCTATCACTTTTTTTTTTCTGATTCTTGGTTGTAACTGCTTCCCTCTAAAAGTGCTAATTGTGAGGAGAAACCAAGATGGCGGCATAGGGTAGACACCCAAATGCAGCCTACCACAACAAATTTGAATTTAGAACTGAAAAACAGGGGAAACATCACCCTGAAGTGCCAGACGGCTGGCTAAGAGGAGGCTCTACCATCTGGGAAAGAGAGAGAAGGCGCGCTGAACCTCAGGAACTGTGAAGGTGCGAAGAACTGTGTGTGCGAAAAGGCGGCTGCAGAGTTCGCTGCCGGCTTGCTTGTGGAGTGCGGAAAGGGCAGGCTGAGTTCGCTATAGGCTTACTCCCTGCGAGGAGAGGGCAGACAGCGAATGCGCAGCTGGCTTTCTTGTTCACAAGGAAAACAGAACCACCCTATTGCACTGATAGACAGCCCCAGACAGGGAGAGGCCAGACTGTCAGGCAGTGGGCAGAGATCTCTCGGAGGTGTGTGAAGCCAGCAGCCATTACTGCGGGACTCAGAAACCAGACCCTCGGAGGGAGGAGCTGAATAAAGCTTGTCTGCACCACCCGAGACTCTGCCCCATCCAAGCGGAGCACAGAGGCCCTTCCAGTGACGAGCTTCCTCATTCGCTGCCAATAGACTCTCCTAGGGAGGGGCAGACAGGAATCTAAAGCTTGTCTGCAACCAATTGTGCAGGATTCAACAAAGCTTGTCTGTGCCACCCCAAGACTCAGCCCCATTCAAGCAGAATACAGAAACCCTCCTAGCTGAGACACTTCTGATCTTCATAGCCAATTGGCTTGGAGATCAACGCTTCCCAGTGATACCAACAACAAGCAAGGCTTAACAACAAGACTGTACACACAGCCCACAAAGGGCTACACCAAGACTGTCCACCTCAGGTAACTGGGAGGCTGACTCACTGAACCATATAGGACACCTTAGCACACAAAGCCACCCTACCAATTCAGGGAAGCTGAGAAAATGCCGAGACAAGGAAATAGATCACAAACAAAAGAAATGGAGGAAAAGAAGAGACTGGATATAGAGTTCAAAACCACGCTTATAAGATTTTTCAAGAATTTCCTAGAAAAGGTCGATAAGACCTATGAGGAGATGAAAAGGGATCAACAAGAAATAATAAGGGATCAACAAGAAATAAAGAATACATTGTCTGAAATAAAAAATATTATACAGAGTCCGAAAAACAGAAAGGAAGATTGCAAGAATCAAGTCAAAGATTTGGAACATAAAGAGCCAGGAGACAAGAAGCAAGAAGACAAGAGAATCCAGAAAGTTGAAGATAATGTAAGAAACCTCTGGGACAACTTCAAGCAAACCAACATCAGAATTATGGGGGTCCCAGAAGATGAGAGAGAGCAAGATA